TAAAGCCCATGCTTTGCAATGAGCAAGGCTAGCGTTAAAGGCAAGAGGGCAGTTCATCTTTGGCTTTAAGTTGGTCTCTGCGTTGAAGTAGCGTTTGAGGTAGAGGTCACACTGAATTAGGTTAGTAAGTCCTTCGAGTGAGCCTAGTCGTTGAATAAGWGTTTCTAATTCTTGAAGTCTTTGGAGAAGGTAATCAGCGACGTCAGGAAAAAGGTCATTGGTGAAACAGGGCTTCACGTGGGATGATATCTTTGTTAGTTTGATAGCGGGAAGGTTAACGCGGAGGTGAACGATTTTAGTGTCATTATAGAAGATGAGGGGTCGCGGTTTTCGAGCGATCATCATAGCTTGTGGGTAGAATCTGATTTGGTCATTAACGGGATCCAAACGTTCAAATGGAGGTACGGCAAACGTCAGTGTTCCGGCAAGAAATATCCAGAACAGATAACTTGGAAGCTGCATATTGCTGGATCTAAAGGGCTAGAACATTTTATCAGTGTATCAGCCATTTCTAATATCTTAACATAACAAAGAAAAAAAAGAATAACAAACGGAGATAAGATAATACTTTTTTTGTATTTTAATGTACTAGTACAACAGCACTAGCACAAACCCAATGATAAATATGTATACAGATAGGTTGTATGGTGAATATAGGAACGTTATAAGAGTAAACATGGTTACAACGGAACACAGTAGGCACAGTGGATTATATGTGTGCTTTATTGTGCGTCTGTGATTGATTGTAACTTAAAAGGGGGCCGTGGAGTCAGTGTTACGCCCCAGTCTGACATTGCCGCGCGCCTTAACAAAAGGTCCCTCGACCGAATATTAGGGACGGATAACAAGGAGCAAGGTCTCTTTTTTTGGTTCAACAAGTGCAGTACCACCAGGATCATATGGGAATTGGAGCGCGCAGGTCACAACTGTTTCGGTATGTGGTTCCAAAACAAAGGAATCGGTGGCCTGGACTTTACATCGTTCAGGTAACTCTGGCGGAAGGGCGTGCTCTTGCTCAGGGAGTTCAAGTGAAAGAGACTTGAAGTCAACAGTAGCTTGGTAGTGCTCAAGAAAGTCACGACCTAAAATAACGGAGTGAGAAAGACTATCAGCTACAAGTGTCGTAAATGGGAATAGTTGGCCATCAATAATAAATGGAATTTCTGCTTTGCCAAGGACTGGAATCGAACCACCATTCACGGAACGCAACTCGTGAGTTGGTTGTGGAACGAGGGGATAATTATTCAGCTCAGGAATAGCATCATATAAATTTGCATTGATTACTGTTGTCACGGCTCCTGTATCAACCAAGAATGAAAGTCGTGTGTTACCTATGCATCCACTTATGCATAAATTAGACGTATCTTTGGAGAATGAAATATTATTCACATCTGTGTCACTTGGCTCTTTTCGAAAAATGTCTCCATAGCTGCTGGATTGTATCTCTTTATTC